GCTTCTACTCCATGGCCATGGCTGCCAGCCTGGCTGTGCCACATGAAAGCCAGAAATTAGAAACGGATCTCAAATTAGAAATGCCTGAGACGCAATGCCAGTGCGACTCCAGTTGTCGTTGTCGTTTTCTTCGTCGTCGTCACGATGTTTGGCACTTGTTCCCTGCCGGCAACCCATTTATTTCCCTCCCTCCCCCTTCATATACATACTTACGTGGGTGGCTAATGTTTTTTTTTTTCATATATATGTATATATTCCGGCCGCCTGTCTGCTGCAGTTGGCCACACACACTTGGCATGCTGCCCTATATTCCAGATTTCCTGGCCAAAGAGTAGCATCCACTGGGAGCCATGCGTGGGCGTCAATTGCTTGGCAAGTCTTGCGTTTTATGCATTCAGAAATTGGCAATAAACGCTGGCCAAAACTTTGTCTGCATCGCTGCACTTAAAACAAAAGTCTTTATATTGTTAAATATTACAAAGACATACCTTTCATCCATCTGCTATAGAATTTTAAATTTTAAAAGTCACCTCAAATTTATGCTGGCTGTGGGGGACAAGTGATTTTGATAAAAGAAAGCTATAAAAACGTTGCTGGACCATAAAAAATGTTGTCAATAAAAACTGAGTTGCATTTATCTGTCTCTGAGGTGGGAGAAATTTCATTTCATTTTTAAAAAAATATATTGCTTTATATAAGTGCAAAATATGTTTTGTCCAAGAAAGTTTAATCTAAAAGAGACACTTTTTGCAAATCATTAAAAACCCTTCTTTAGAAGTTTAAAATTGAAAATTTTCTCCCAGTGCAGCTATTTCCGCAGCCAATGGACAGCGCCAACTTTGCCATATAATCTTTTACACTCGCATTAAGAGCTCACTTGGCCCCTCAAAATGCGAGGGAGTAGAGCATGTCAGCTCAAGAAGACTGAGACTGAGACTAAGTCTGAAGCTGAGACAACCGAGGAGAACTCCTCCGACAACTCAACTTGCAGATACTCCATTTCGGGGCGCTATCAAAGTCGTGTGCTCGAGTTACGCCCTCAACAGAAAAAATAAGTAAAACAGATACCCAGATACCCAGTTGGGCACTTTAAGGTGGCTCCAAAGTTAAAGCTAGCCAGAGTTTGGGTGCTGCTCTGGCATCAGTCAAGCGTCAAAGCGTTTTCAGTTAACTGGAAAAACGTTGCCCAAGTTTAGAGACTCGCTCTCCGTCTTCTGCAGTTAGTAGGTCAGAAGTTTCTGCGGCTGTGTGTGAAATTGTTACTTCGCTATATATATATATACATATGTATATATGTACAATTATATAGCACAAGAGTACTATACACCCAACAACGTGACTTTGTCTCTTTCGCTTGGATATTTTATTGCCGTCTGCGAGTCTCTGTCGCTGTTTGCTTTCATTTTTATAAACGCGGCAAACAAACAACTGCGATTTTAATGCCGGGTGAATGTCATGTTCTGGGCCCCCGAGACTCCAGTCTCTATTGCTACTGGTTTTCATTTGATGTGTCTCCTTAACCCACACACACACACACACTTTACCATAAAAATAGAAGCATGTTTGGGCATTTACTCAGCCGCCTTTTCTTTTCCGAGATTTCAAAGCTTCTATGTGTCATGGAATTTAATAGAACACCTCTGCCATCTCACCTTGTTTTTTGTTGTTTAGCAGCAGAGAAGATTTATAGGAGTTTCCCACATAGAAAAGGCGTCCATAAATAACCAGAAAATCTTAAATATTTAATTAAGATTTCTACAAGCCAATCAATCATGGTTCTTTAAAATTAATTTGTAGTTTTTATCAATGAGATAGGAATTCCGCCCTCATCTTTTCGTTTCTTGCCATAAAAACACATCAATTACCATGTTCTTAAGCCAGCATATATCGAGAACTTTTCTCTCTGTGCAGAGCCAATCTTTTGAACTTAAATCACCCAGCTTTAGCCTGAAGAACAAGCCATTCCCCGCAAATGCCTGGCCAAATTAACACAGCGCTCGTAGTTCAGGCCCCAAAAAAACCCTTCTTGCCAAAACAACAAAAGCCCGCAAAACAATGAGGGAACAAAAAAAAGTTACTATTACAAATCAGAACTGCGGCAAAGTTGAAAAGCGCACTGTAATTATGGCCTCATTCGGGATGGAAAATCGGTAAGGAGGGAGAGAGGAGAGTTGCAGGGGAAACGCTGTGATTGAAAGTTGAAAATGGGTTTTTGTGGCCTAATCCGTCCTTCATTCAAGCAGCTGTTGGCCAAAAAAAAACCAAAAAAAATTAGCTTAGTCAGTGGGCCAAACGAACATTTTTGAAAAGCTTTGTGCCAATGTGCCAATGTTAATATGCTTTTCCAGCTAATTATTTTCATTTGCTTAGCCCGCAGCGATTGCCTCATTTTCCACATTTAATTACATAAGTCGAGGTGAAAAGAAAGGAAAAACTAAAGCTGCAAGCTGCAAGCGGCAAAGCTGAAATGGAAATGGAAATTGAAATTGAAACTGAGCGAGAGCGAAAAGAAAATCCTCAATGAATTAAATAAATTATCAAATTTTCATGTAAATGAAATTCAACACGAATTTCGCTTTTATTGTCTGCCAGTTCGTTCGCATTTAATTAGTTTTTCACTGCCTTGATTTCTCACGAGTGGCTTTAAGTTTCCATTAAACTTTGATTAGGCCTTCTTCTTCTAATTGGCGTGCGGGTGTACAAGTTTGGAATTAATGTCTCAGTTTTATGATATAAAAAAAAACATGAATGAAGCTGGGTTTTCTTGCTGATAGTTTGACTCAGCGGATGTTGGCCTGATAAATAAAAAAAAGAAAATATTCATGTATATAGTATAGCTCACTGAGTCTTATCGTAATGAAGCCGCCTTTGTCTTTGACGCACTGCAAATTGCTTAATCAATTGGAAACTGTTCACTCGCATGCAAATGTCAAACTGACAGCTGCCGGAAAGCAGAGAGAGAGAAATGAGAGGCAAGGAAAGGAAACGGAAACGCCATTTAAATGGAAACTCTGCAGAAATGAAAGTTCAGCGATAAGTAATCGATCGGCGCGAAAATAAATACATTTATATACACACACGTTCGGTCGATGGAACTGTGTCAATGTTGGCAATTACAAATTGCAATTAATAAATGGAAAATTAAATGCAGCCGCCTGATTGAATAATTGCCAGCCTGACAGACTGCCTGACTGACTGCCGGACTGACTAAGTGACTAACTGACTGAATGAGCTTTAAGCTGGCTTAGCTGTCCGTCAGCCAGCTGCTGAATAGCTTCTAGCTTCTAAGCCTTCGCTAGACTTATACAGCGAAAACTGACCCTGAACCACTTTGGATACACATCACACATATGTGTGGATAAAGGTGCAGTGAGAGAAAAAGTTGAATTAAGAGAGAAATCAAATGATGGGATTAAAATTAGATATTTTCTTAAAGCTTCTATGGAAAAAAGTCTACTGAATAATCTTTCATAACAACAGCTCCAGTATGAAGTTTGTGTTTCTAATCAAAGTCTATTTTCTTGGAAGTTGTATTAATATACATTACACGATCTCTAGCTTCATTTTCCTCCGTGTTCTTACTATTCCATATACTATATATATTCACCATATAGCAAGTGCGCAATTGCAATATTTGCTCGCATGCAATGAGTTTTAATGAGACCCCAGATGGGAATGCAAATGGTTATGGGAATGGGACTCGTTCCGCCTCTAATTTGTAGCTAATCAATCATCTGCTGTTTAGAAACATTCAATCACGATGGGGGGCTATCGTCAGCTGGAGGGAAGATTCAACGATGTAGTTGAACTTTTGTCACCACATGGGGGCCGTGATTGAAAAGTGCCGAAGAAGATCTATGAATGAGAATCTTTTCAGATGTTTAACACTAAAGATAACCATGTGGGAAATGCGTTTTTGGTAGAAACTTTAACACATATAGTTATTGTGCCGACTGGAAACTTCACCTTTTGGCATTTCTGCGCGCTCATTTCCGAGGGCATGAGCGATGATGAGCTGAAAAGATCAAATTTATCATGACACGACAGCTGATGAAACATTCATGCCGCCGCATTACGGGTGTCAGAGACCCCAGAGGCCATGAACTCTGCCCTTCATCTTCTTCTCTTTCTATTTTTTTTTTGTTTGTTCCAGGGAAACCCTGTTCTTTAATGGCTCCGCCATAAAAGTGTAAATCCGAAATGCACGAAATCCTTTTGCCAGCGAGAGAAAAGCATCAAATTATTAAACATAAATTTCCGGTTGCCCCAACTTGTTTACGGATGTATGTTTGTGCACGTAATTTTCCAGCGATTTATCATCTTTTTGTTGGAGCGGCTTCGATGACACAAACAACAAAAGCGCCAGACGCTTTTCTCAGTCACCCAACCCCAAGCCAAAACCCTACCCTGTCCCTTCAAGGACTATAAATATTTCGTCCTCTAATTGTTTGGCAAGGGTTCGTCTTGCCGGGTGTAGAAAACGCTGGCCGTATCCTAATGAATTTACGCACACACGTCCTTTTGCCTTTGTCGCCGTCTGCGTCGCATAAATTGTCCTTTCTCCGCAAAAATATTTTACGTCGTCTGGTTGTCTGGCTGCCTTTGCCTTTGCCTTTGCTAGCTCTAACAACCATCTAGCCACCAAGGATGCCCACAGATTCAGGGATCCTTTCAGCTTGTTTCGTGTTGGCGGGCAGTGCGCAAATTTTTGGTCTTTTGCCTCATAAATCATCAAATTACAACAATTGCTGCGCACTCGCTGCGCTTTTGTGAAGGCAGCAAACGAAGGATAAAGGAAAAAGGACCTCGCAGGAGACGTTGCCGCTTGCCAATTTGCTTCGCACCAAAGCATCTGTTGTCCTCGCCTTCCCACCTGCGCTGCACAAATTTTTCCCCCTACCATATCTTCTCCTATTATTTTTCCTTCCCCTACCATTTTCTTTTGCAATTTTTCCAGCTGCCTTACTCAAAAATCTGTTTTCCATTCTACTCAATTTCAGGTCCCCCTCGGAGAGATCGGGCAAAGGCTGTTGTGGGCAATGGTTTGCCGGACCGCCGCTGCGAGCCCTCATTGCCGTCGTCGCATTGGGGGGTGTAGCTTGCGCCTTGGGCGGAGCGGCCTTGGGCGCCACTGGCCTCGCTGGACCACCCAACTCCCACCTCACGGCCGCCCTACTGATGATAGGTGAGTGAGACTTTTATGAGATTCCATAATATTATTTAAAATGTTTATTTAGGGGAAAACTTAATTTGTTATACATTATTTTATATTTTAATGAATTTTTAAACTAATTAATGCTGATAATGATAGAAAATTTATCGATTTTTTTAGTCATCAAAAACTCGTTTCAACCTTGTTACACTTTTTGCCCTTATTTGGGTTTAGTAAACACTAAATTACACGCCAAGGGTGATTTTTCATTCTGCTTATGGCATTACTATTTAAATTTTCTGAGTGCAAGGCAAACTAGGTGATTACATAATATGGCAAAAAAAAAAAAAAAACACAAAATCGAGCAGGGAAAATGGCATTAAAGTCGGCGACGAACGCCTTTTGATGTTCGCTGATGTTTACACAAGACACACGGGGCGGCAGTGGGAAATCCCCTCTTGGCCAGCGAAAAGCCAGCCCGTGTTTGTTCACAATTGTTACAATTATAAATGCCATTCGGTGTGTTGTCCGTCGTTTGCTGCTGGGGTTTTTTCTCTCTTCTTTCTTTCTTTTCACATTGAAAGAAGAGAAGGAGGAGGAGGAGTTGCCCCGGTGTGTCTATTTGAGTACGTTTGTACCTGCGTTTGTGCCTGCCTGAGAGTACCTGGCTTTTGTACGATACTTCGGTACATCTGCTGACCCAGTTCGAAGAACAAACAAATTTGCAGCCAGACAAGCCAACTGCCAATATTGCCAGAGCATTTAGTTCCGGCTGCGATTTCTTTGGCCCAGGCTATCGCTCTATTTGGCCAAATCAACAGGTTGGATGCTAACTATTCTACGAGAACTACACTCGACTCTTTCAAATTAAATGCACTTGGGGGGAAACTCGTTGGCATTACAACGTCATCGATTCAATTCTGCCAACTTTTCTGCTTCTTTTTGAGGCCACTCATGAATCATTCATTACGCAACCACTGAAAGCGGGGCCAAGTGCAGAGCTTTACTTTATTTTAAGTTGTTATATATATACAGTCTGCAGTTTGAGTTTTGTGTGTGTGTGAGAGACGTCTAATCAATTGCCGGCGCGTTTAGTTTAGCGCTCGCGAAGCGTGACATTGCGCCATTTTCGGCGGCAATTACCGAAAAGTTTTCATTCCGTACATTAGAGTATATGTGCGGCAGCATTTTACATAATTTAATGGCAATCAAGGCAGCCAGTCAGCAAATCTCCAACTATGTACAGAGACACATAATGGAGCTGGTGGTAGAGTCCCACCATCATCGTCATCACTGCCATCATCATCATCACGATGATGGGCGAGGTCTTTTTTGGGGTCTTTGGCTTTTGTGGAGAGATGTCACAATGCTCATGACAATTTTCGCTAATAAAATCGTATGCCTAGCTAGCAAATTTGCCATGATGACATGCTCCACTGAATGCCCCATGCCCCATGCTCCATGCTCCATGCCCCCTTCCAGTTGGCCAGCGGCAGGAGTAAAAGTGAAAGTCTATGGTCGGCATGATTAGGCTTAGGCTATGGGGAGTTTCAGCTGGATTTGAAGCTTTAAGTGGAACTGTAATTGCGTGCCACGCCCATTTTAGGAGTGGGCTAATTAAAGCCGCCGCTAAATGGAAAATCGGAGGCGTTACCCGAACTCTAGCTCTGAAATTAAGTCCCCTCTCTTTTTTTTTTTTTGCCTGTTTCCAGGAGTTGGCGTTGTTTTGGTGACTGTAAGTGGAGCTGCCTGGCGGATGACGGCGCCGGGCGGCCAAAGCTGTCTGGGAATTGGACTGGGAACTAGCGTGGATCTCGGACGGTGCGGTCGTAGGCCCTGTAGTCGAGGTGGTGGAGCACCGCACGGACTGCTCTATCCGGAGTTCCAGCACCGCCCACCGCCGCCCTCGTACCAGGCCAGCATGCAGGAGTACCGGCTGAGGTGAGTGTTTGAGTACTGGGAGTAGAAGGTGTTCCAGAACTGCTGGTGCATAAATTACACGCAAGGACAGCAGTTGGTGGCGAACCTGCGGCTTTCGTCCGCCACTCGCATGTCCTGGCGCAATTAATTGCATTATGCATAATTATGCAGCGGCCAGAGCGTTTTGTAGTTACACTGAGAGAATCGCGAATAGCACTTAGAGAAATCTTCGGGTTGTTACATAAAGCAATACTAAAAGTCACTTCAATTTAACTAAATTCGTTGCAAGTGCAGTTAAAATTATCTTAACTTAAACTTAAAAATCAGTATTATTCTCAGATCAGATGTTAAATGTCTTGCCTTCATCTTAACCATTTTGCCAGATTTATAAATATATAACCTGTTTCTGGGATTCCGATTCTCTCAGTGTATCTATTGCCAGTGTCCACATCCGAATTTTCCCTACCCTGAACCCTTTGCTGGCCGCCTTTTTCCTGTCGTGCCACATACCAACAACAACAACTGCAATAGCAACTCAACCGAATCCTTTCCGCTTTTCTCCCGCAGACTTTTGCTGTTGGACCGCGATCGCCAGAATGGCGTGGTGCGTGGAAATTCGCCGCCGCCCACTTATCGATCTCATGCGGGCAGCCTGCTGAGGTAAGTACTTCCGTTTCCGCCACAACTCCCCCCCTTTATACACCCATCTCCCCTTGAAACGCGTCCTCCGACTTCTCCGTTCCGCCATTCGTGAGTTATTTGCAAAGTTTGGCGCCTGCCAAACCGCAAAATGTTTTCCAGACTACCCGAAAGTAGGTGGAGCGCGGGCCAAGGAAAAATTTGGGGGATTGGGATATACGAGATCTGGGATCCGGGGTGATTCTGCTATAGCGGTTTGGCTTTTGTGTGGTTTTCCAAGGGTGTCAACATTGACACATCGCTTTCGATGGGGGGGTTGAAAAGTTTTTGGGGAATTTTCGATTTTTCCCATTCGAAGGGATGACTCGAATCAAAAGATTGCCTGATGATGGCAGCAAACACTTGCCAATTGATTCGGCAACTAATTGAAGAGATAAGGCAATCCTCCCCAGAATATATATGAGCAATCTGATTACGTTACGCCCTTCGAAAATACAAAAGCCAAAAACATGACTCACACAATGGCAATTTAAATGACAAGGACTTTCCCCGAAAAGTGGGTGGCCCTGGAATAATTATCGCTCCGGAACGCATAATGTTGGGCTAATGAGAAAAGTTGATTTTTATGGCCAAACAAATTACTGGCCGAAAGGAAGAAGACAAAGGCGGCTTGAATTTTGTATTTAAATTGTATTTGCAGTTCGTTTTAGAGAATTGCCATTCAAACCGTAACGTAACGTATTTATGTCAAATTAATTTACTTCACTCACACACTTGAATATTTATAATGTGTGCAATGCAAATGGAAAAAGGGAAAGCGGGAGCAGGGAAATCTGATTTCGGGGCTTCCCCGCACACTTAGGTTAGCCAAAAATGCCAGCGGAAACGGAAGGAAGGGGAAGCAGTCAGGGAAGGGAGTTCGGTAGGTAGAAGTATGTCAAAAAGCAAAACTTATGCAAAGTGTGTGGCAAGAAATCACAGCATACTTTAAGGCAGGGCTCTCAAGTAAAAGCGAGTGTGTATGCGAGCTGCGTATTCAAATGACTTTAGTGTTGGTGCGGAGGGGAAAAACTGGCAAAGAATTCTGGGAAATTTTGCAAAATATTTACACACACGCGCACACATCTGAAGAGCCTGCCAAGCCGCATAACAAGCAGCCCGGAAAGGCAGTCCTAGGGGGTAAGGGGAAAAAGCGAAAATGCCCTTAGCTCCAAGGACGGAAAACTGTCCTTGCTGCGCTGGCCAAGTCAATTAAACAAACAAAGAGCCAGCCAAAGTGCTGCGAAAATTGCCTGTTATGCACAGCACATCACATCATCGCATCTTTGGGACAATGGAGGCCAACATCTATATACATAGATAGGCTCGATTCGCCAGGATGTCCATATTCCTGGACGATGACTTATTTTCCTGTTTCCGTTCGCCCGGCGTCTTTTGTCGGAACAATTAAATGCAATTTTACATACTCCAAATTGCTCCATACAATTTGTGCGAGCTTCTCGAATTTTGAGAAATCAACCAGACACGCCCATAGAAGCACGGCAACGCCCCCTTTTTGGAGCACCCGGCAGGCCATTATGTGCAGATGAGCGTTTGAGTGTTGACTTTTGTGCTCTGCCGACTGAAGTGTGAATTGTCTGTGATTTGGGTTTAGTTCTCTTCTTTTCACTTCTCCACCCCTACTCACTCGTTGAACCTTAAACCTACTAAAAATAGCTCCTTTTGAAAAACCTACCCCCGGAAAATCCCTTTCATTTTACCTATCGCCATGCACATGGCAACAATTGCCACAGCGGCCTTTTGTTATTTAAATTGACAAAGATGGGAATATAGAGAATACACACTCGCATGTATATATGTTTGAAAAGGTACAGAATCGTCATATATCCCATACATACTGATTGCTGTCGACATTTTGGGTGCACTGAAAGAAACTATCGGAGCTTTGGAAATATTTTCAAGTAACAATTTGGAAAAAACATCTACTGATAATAAAATAAAGTATTTTCTGTACAAAATTTAAAGAAGACGATTTTAAGTTATTGTTTAATTTACAAGACTTTAGCCTTTTAAAAGGTTTCTCCAGTGCACTCATATAGACAAAGCTCATGGAATATATATCCCTTTGAAGAGACCCTATCTCATGGATGCAAATTTGTGCATTTGGTTAACATATTTGCCATTTTCTTATGCCCGAGAAGGGCAAACAGCACCGGATTGACTTTGTCTCATGTGTAAATAATTCATTCCTTTGATTCACTTACTTCCAGAGCTCCACTGACCACCTTGCGATCCGGAATGGGAGGGGGAGGCAATGCCGGTGGAACCATTAGCAGCAGCATGGGAGGTTCGGAGTACAGTTTACCGCCCAGCTACCGCTCCAGAAATGCCACACCCGCCAGTCTTGTGTGCAGTGAACGGAACATTGAGACGGCTCCATCTGGCAGACTGCTGGCCAACGAAGATCTACAACTGCCGGAGCCATCGGTGGTGGAGCAATTGCCGGACTACACGGCGTTGCAGTCGAACACATTGCTCACCTCGGCCATTGTGGAGATAGAGTCCTCGAATAGGATTCCAGATAGAGAATCTAGCACAACAACAACAACAACAACAGGAGGAGCATCAGCGAAGAGCAAAAACAAGGATCTGGTGACGATAGTTACCATTTCCCAGTCACCTGGAAGCACCCACAGCCAAACGCAAACCCAAACGCAAACGCAAAATCCAGCTGGCCAGGCCAGCACACTCGATCAGATCGATATATTGGCGCATCTGTAGCGATCGAACTGAACTAACTTACGTAACTTCAGTTGGATACTTCAGATTCAGACACTCGTTAACCCAAAGGTATTTATTTGTACGGAACTCAAGCTGCTCCTAAATGAATGTAATGTAACCCCTATCTGTAACCTGTAATCTTTAAGCGGCGTTTAGCTGTTAAGATGTTTGTTGTACTTGAATGTGTTGAATTTATTTTTGTAAGCATTAAGCAGATGCGCAGCGTAGTTATTACGAATTCTAGATACTTGCAATTATACATACATACGCCACTACCCATTAAAGTATTAAAGTATCCAAAAACAAAAACAAAAAAAAAACAAAAACAAAAACAAACAAACAAAAATGTTGAACAAGAGAAACTTTGAGCTCAGACGACAACTATCAAACTGTAAATACGATGAAATTTCGAATGCATTTCTAGCAACTAAACTATAAACCAGGCCAGAAACGAAGAGCAAAAACTAAGTATATAGTGTATGTAGATATGAGTATCCCCTTGGGGTATACATAACTCGCAACGGAACGCTACGGTGACAAATTTGGCGCGCACTTTCGGAAACCACGAATATCCAACTGAATACTGAACTTCGATGTCGATTTCGATTTCTGAATGCGTTTCGCACAAAAAAATAAAACAAAATAGGTAGACCTACCCCTAATTGATATGTAAGTTACGACTAATTGTACGCGTGTCCTGCACGAGTACAACACATACACATACATACACACACACACACACACACAAACAAACAAACACACTCGAAAACTAACTTAAAGTCCTTTAACGTAATGTGCAAGGCAACGTAAACTAAACATGAGAAATAAAACCCAACAAATCGTTGAAAAATGCCACAAAAACCCCAAATTGTTTTTCTTTCTCGCACGAAGGGCGTGGCACATGCCTCCACGTCCTGATCCTGCTTAATCTAGCGTGAATTTTGCTGCCATCGTCAGGCCTCTCTGAAGTTTTTGTTTTGCAGAGGGGTAAAAATCCAGGGATTTCAATGAGGCGGAGGAGGGTTTTCGAGCCCAAGCGATTAACACCCAACACAAGCAAACCCACTCACACCTTAAACCGAAAGCCGAAAAAATAAAATACCAGGCTCAAATGAAACCAACAAAAATTGGTTAAGCATGAAATTGCTGTGGAAGTGCGTGCCCATGTGTGTGTTCGTTTGGGTGGAAGGCGGTAAGTATGTGTATGTTCGACATACAGGCGGAAAACAAAAAACACTGTTGCATACTTTCAGGCAGCCGGTGGAATTCGTGTGCGCAGCAAACCGGAAGTTGCCAACGATTATGACATTACAAACGAAGTAAATTAGGATTCCAGTTTACGACCATCAGAACAAAACTCATTTATTAAACGCGAAAAAGATTTCGAAATTTATTCACTTTCTGATCATTTACAATTTACAATCGAATTATGGATAATTTACAACATAAATTTAGAAATTAAATAAGCAACTGCCTGCTGACAACCTCGTTTTGACTTTTACTGACTCTTCCGATTAGGCCGCCAATATATGTTGCGGAAATCCTCTCGCGCGATTTGTTAGCATTTAGCTTTCGGGGTTGATCAACAGTTTTCAGGCTCAACTAAGTAAAATTAACTCTGGCCACAGTACATACATATTTAGCTGGGGGATCGGTAGTTCGGTTATGATACGATGTTTTTTCTTGAATAAATAATTGTTTTGTGTGTGTGTGTTTTGGGGCATATAATTTGCTAGCTAATTCGATTTCGTGTCGTTTGAAGCTACGTTTTTTGTTTTTTTTGATTTAGAGTGATTCGTTCATCATTTAAAATTAGGATAACATTTGTGTGCACAATTCATAAAACAAATAGAAATAATAATTGTTACGCATTATTCACTCTGACAATTGCAATAATAAGCTTTTAGATACGTGTTGAGAGCAAGCTCTCATATCCAACTAATCCGAGGATTGTGATATATAGTTGTGTTTGTTGTTGTTGTTGGTTAGTGTGCGTGATCCCTGAAGTCGAACAAAATCATCTAATCGGCGGTTTTAGCGCGCATGATTCTTGCAGAAGGGACGTCCGCCCTTGTTGTAGAAGCTCTGGCCCTCCAGGTTCTGTTTGCAGAACTATAAAATAGGAATGTTATTCATTAATATATTTAAATATAAAGTAAATATAAATATCAATAAATTCTTACCGTGCAGTTGAAGCATTGGCTATGGTAGTTGTGGTTCAGGGCCTCCACCCATCTGTCGCCAGCTTCCACGGGGAAGCCGCAGGCGAAGCACTTTGTGGTGAACAGCTCGTTCCAATCGGCCTCGCAGTATGCGTTTCCATCCTCCAGGAAGAAGGGCCTGTTACCAAAGATCTTGCCGCACTGGCCGCAGGTGAAGCACTCCGGATGGAAGTGCTTGCCAATGGCATTCAAACAGTCACCCTTTGTTATTAAGAAATTATAATGGTTAGTCAGGGAATTCAAAGGAGATTTGAGTAAGTTTAAAACCCCACCTTGATCTTGCCAGCGCACTTGCTGCAGGTGGGCGCCAGGTACTTCTCGAAACAGTACTCGCAGTACAGATCGCCCTTCTCCTCAACGAAACCAATGTCCTGCAGGGGACGACGGCAGTTGCCGTTCACGCAGATGAAGTGATCCGGGCACCAGATGCGGCCAAGAGCCGTGATGAAAGGTCCTCTGTGAAAGGGAGATTAAACCGAATGAATTTTGAGGATTTCGAAAATAATTTAAATATTTAAACAAAATAAATAAAAAGCAAGCTGTACTTACGAGGTGATCTCCTTATTGCACTGACAACACACAGGTCGCTTACCCTCCTTAAGCAACTGACTCACCGCCCTTTCGTTCTCCTCTGACATGGTTGTCTGATCTTCACTATGAGGTCCCAAGGCCTTAACGGAAACACTGTAGGTGGGTGAGCCGTTTTGGTTGCCATTCTGATTTCCTGGCTGACTTTCTATTTGATTGGCATTCTGATTGGTAACAGATGGTACATTGCTTACTCCCTGTTTGGGTTCTATGTAGGATCTGCGGTCAGCGGCATGAGTGGCCCCAGTACGTCTCAAATTATTCCTAAATGCCACCGGTTCGGGGGTATCAATGGCCTTGCCGCTATCGCAGAGATCAAGAATCTTGCTCATGGGATGCTGAGCGGGGAGTTCCATCTGTAGGGTCTGTTCCACTCGAGGAACCTGAGGTTGGGCCTTTTGGTTGCCCACCTCCGTAGGCAGATCCTTCTGGGAATGTACGGCTATGACAGGCTGCAGGGTAACCGGTTGGGTGGGATCCAAATTCTTAAAGTCATCAAGATCTAGACGTTTGCGTACAATCATCGGACTCTTTGAGAGATTTGAACTGCTATTGCTGCGCAGACTCAAAGAGCTCCCCGCATGGGAAAGTGGACCATTCTGACCACCATTATTTGCCAATCGTGCCTCTAACATATTGGTAATGATTTTCCCGGCCTCTTGCATAAATGCGTGGGTTTTGTCGCCCATATCGATCTTTCCAATGGATTCGGCAAGCATGGAAGTGGCGTCCGACTCCTGAGGATTTCCTTTTTCTAATTCCTTGGCGGGTAAGTCAGTTGCCTGAGGATGGGGGCGTGGCAAAGTAGCAAAGGATTGAGGATTAGCATGCGGATTAGTGGCCTTGACAGCGCTGGAAGCTCCTGTGGGAACTGGAACAAAACGGGGGGAAACAAAAACACAAAAAGCTAGCGGGTTAGATTGGTGGCCAGGCAAATTAGTTGGGATTTCTTGAATGGGATCAAGCTTTTCAGTAGGAAGCTGATCCCAAAAAGATAACTCTTATACTAAGTAACATTACGATTAACTAAATAACGTTAGAAAGATCAGATAATAGGACGAACTAAGATCATTTAAAGCCTCAAAACACAACAAACAGATTGAACACCAAAATCAAACTTGGAACACAACAAACTCTGGGATGCTCTGTTCACCTGATCTGCACGTTGCAGCTGTTGCACAATGGGATGCGCACTCCGGGTCCGGCTGCTTTGTTCAGGATACCCCTGCCCCTCTTTGGCGCCGAGGTGGCTCCAAAGGCTCCAGCGCTCTTTCCTCCGGCACCTGGGGAATCAGGCACATTAGAGTTCAAGTTCAGATCGCTCAGGTCTGGCGGGAAGACAGCGGGCGCAGGCGGAGCAGCAGCGTTAACGGCGTTCGCTATCACCGATTTCGGGGCAATCGGTGTTTTGAATGGAGCAGTAGCCTTAATTGGAGCTGCAAATGGAGCAGGAGCAGGAGCAGGTGCATTTGCTGATCCTGTGATGGAAGCGATGGATGGCCGCGAGGCCAGATTAGGCTTGATATTGCTGCCATTGCTGCTCCTGTAGGCCGTGGTGGCCTGGTTATTAGTGGTGGTAGTAATAGCAGAAGCTTGGGTTAGACTTTGCGACGATCTCGCGACGGATGCTGATGCTGAAGCAGATGCTGATGAGGATGAGAGCGATGAGGAGGTGGCTTTCGAGCTGCTTGCATATGAGCTTTGCTGCACCGATGAAGTGGTGGCTTGATAGCCAGAGAAAGCAGACTTTTGCTGCTGTTGAAGTTGCTGCTGCTGGAGGAAACCCGGTGGTGGTGCCATTAGCTTGTTGCTGGCCGCAGGTACGGCTCCGTAACCAGGAACTGTGGACTCCACGGGCGCTGGCTTCAGTGGAAACTTCGAGTCAAAAGTGGGTGATCTTAGATTGGGAAAGCATCCCTCGCCGAGAGCAGAGGCCCTTGCACTGATGGCCTGGGATTGACTGGTCAAGCTGCTGATCTCCTGCTCCAAGCAGGACAATCGCTTTGCCTGATTGGCCACAAATCCTGTCTTGCCGTATGAAGAGCGACGCTCTGTGTCCGATTGATTCTGGGATTGGGATTGAGCCTGGGCCTGGCTAATAGATTGCGATTTACCCTGAGACTGAGTGATGGACTGGGAGCCAGTTCGGATCTCGATAGTCTTGGCACTTTGGGTACGTTCAAACTCCTCGGTGACCTTGCGACGTCTTTCTATTTGAGTATTTCCCACTTGGCTGCGTGTTTGACTCTGAGACTGGGATTGGGCTTGCTGTTGTAGCTGTGAAGACTGCTCCCTTTGCTGGATGTTTAGATTGCCCACCCTCTGTTCTGTAATCCTTTGTGGTTGCTGGGTGAAGCTTTGGCTGGCCGACTGGGAACTCTGCTCGGAGTGGGCCAAGAGTTGACCCTGGTAACTTTGACCCGTGGTGATGGAGCCTGTTTGCAGACGAGGAGCTCCAGACACAGAGAGAATAGTCGATTTGGGTTCAGGTTCCTTCATCCTCGGAGCTCGAATGGCATTCAGGGGATTTGGTGGCGGTCCTGGAGCCGGGGAACGTGTTCTATCTGGGAAAGGCGAAGCATTCAGTTCGTTGTAGTTCCTGGCATGAGTAGCCGAACACTCCTCGAAGACGAGCTTCTCCTCCGTCTGGTAGAAGGGCACAATCGGAGCTGGCTTGTTGGTCAGCGACGGGGTGTATGGCCTAGTGGGCGTCAGGGCCTGATCCGGTCGCACCAGTTCGTCTAGCGGTTGGAAAGCCATCGTTACTGGACCCGAACGATCCTCAACTATAATGGGCACCGACATCTGCGGTCGCCGCTCCTTCTCCTTTTCCCGGGAAGGAGCAACCACAGTTGTCGGCGCAGCATTCTGGGCTATGGCTATGGGTCTATGTACAGTGGAAGAGTCACTAGTGACTGGTGCTTTCGGGGCATCTACGAATGCCAGCGGTACGTTCTCGCGCAGCTCCTGGGGCTCCGGAGTGCGAATGGGACTCTGAGTGGGCAGCACCGTCCAGTTGCGCTGGTACTTGGGGATGCTTTCCGGCTTATGGAGGCCGGACTGTACGGCTTTGCCTTGCTTGGTCAGGTGGCTCAGCGGGGAGGGCGGCGGAAATAGGACCTCCGAGTGCTCGAGCTCCTCGGCGGTCTCCTCGATCAGTTCGTGGGCATCGAACTGGCTGCTGTATTGGCTACTTTGTACAGCGATAGCTGGTAGGCGGACAGGTGTGCTGACAGGAACAGGAAGAGGTACTGGTGCTGGTGCTGGTGCTGGAGCTGGAGCTGTAGCTGGAGCAGGTGCAAAAGCGGTTGAGGTGGCAGGTGGGACTGTGGAAAAGGAGTTAGAGCAAGCAGTCGCTTTGGTGCTGTAGGAAGCGGAACTCTGAGATTGGGCGTTGGCCTGAAGGGTTTGGGTCTCAGCGAGTGTGGTTTGCGAAAGCAGAGAGTGTTGATGTTGCTGTTGTTGGGTTACTTGGGACACTTGTTGCTGTTGCTGTTGGGTTCTTTGTTGGGTTACTTGGGAGTGTTGCTGCTGTTGGGACACCTGTTGCTGCTGCTGTTGTTGCTGGTTGACTTGAGAAGATTGCTGTGACTTTTGCGTAAGTTGCTGTATCTGTTGCTGCAACTCTTGACTTTGAGCACACTGTTGCAGTTGCAATAACTTAGTTTGCTGCAGCTGCTGTTCGCTCAGGAGACTCTGTTGCTGATGCGAGAGTTCCCTTTGCAGTTGGGTTAACTGCTGACCCTGGATACCGTTAAGCTCCTCTTCCTTTTGATGAAAGTAGTCCAATCTTTTCTGATTGCGCTGCTGCGCCTTCAGATACTTCTGGTATTCCAGATCAGTTTCTTCCCTCAGTGCAGAGACAATCGAGGCACGTGGAGTTTCTGGCACACTTCCAGCATTCGAAACCGAGTTCGAGGACAGGGGTTCCCGGGATGGCTGGAATGCTTGCATGGCCGCAAAGGCGGAGGATTTCCGAGGCTGATCTTTCCGCGTCTCGTAATACTCCACCGACTGTGGTGGCTCCGGTCGAAGGCCCAATTCCTCCTCATGATCCAGCACCTGAAATTCACGTTTCTTAAGTTCCTCCTGCTTTTGCTCTTCGTCCATGCGATGCATGGCATTCTCGGGATTCAGGGGGGTATAGCCACGTTCCGGGGCAGTGCACAGGGCATCGCACATGCTCAGGTGCTCTTTGGGAGTGGGCAAGTCAATCATGTGGATGGGTACATCTTTGTCGAAATGACCTTCAAAGGGGCGATCGGGAGCAGTGGTTAGAGCACTCACAAATGGTGATTTGGGTCGGTAATCCTCCCTTAAATAGGGTTTCGTGTCGATGGGTGGTGGCATATAGGGCTCGGTTTCCTCCGGAAGTGGGACGCCCTGATCAGCGGGAGGAGCGAACTTAAGCTCGAACTCGGGAGCAGTTACCATGGCTTGGGTGAGCCGGGTTCCTCGGGGAGGAGATTCTCTTAAAGGAGCAGGTGATGGCTCAACTGGAGCTGGAGCTGGTGCCGATGGAGGAGGAGGAGGAACAGGGGCAGGAACCTCTTGGGCTCGAGCAGCTTCAGCGGCTGCCGCCTCAGCTTCGAAGTCGTCCCCACAGGGCCGGGGAAAAGGACACTCCACCAGATGGAAAGGAACCTCCGGGGCTGTGGTCAAGACACGAATCATAGGATTTATCCACTCCTTGGGCATTGGGTTAGGGATCTTGGTTGGAGGTATTTGGCGCACAGGGGCGATCTCAATCTTGATCTCTGGCGTGGGTTGGAACTTGCGTTCGCTCTCCAGGATCTGGCATCGCTGTTCGATCACAAGACCTTCGCGATCTTCGACAGCTTCCGAGGCTTCGGGTATGGTCTCCAGTTCAACGGGTAGTTGGGGCAACTCCTTGATCTCAGGCTCATCGTTGAACACAACGCGACGGGTTGAAGGAGCAGCAGGAGCGGGAGTTTGAGTGGGTGTGGTCACGGGACTGGGTGTCACTTCCCTTACCATATCAACGAGCTTGTAATTGCTCAAGGGAACAGCTAGGGAGTCAACACACTCCTGGGCACTTCTTCTCCCTGAAGCATACTCCTGTATAGAATCTTGGGTGCTGCCATAATCCACCTGGTAATCGAACTCAGAGCCAGATTGCTCCTGCATTTGATAGGCCTGGATCTGGGCAGCGTACATTCGCTGATATTCCTCCGAAGTGGTTGCCGTCGTTGTCGAAGTGGATGTATAGCTATCCGAGCTGGACTCTTGCTCCGTCAATTGACGGGCATTCGAGGTGGTTAGTTGGGGCGCAGAGTAACTCTGCCATTGGGGAGCACCAGGTGCTGAGGCTTGCACTTGAGGCTGCGGATCTAGTCGAGCAGTTGCTCCTCCAGGTGGTAATGGTGGTACTTGCTGTACCGGATTAGTAACCACCACATGTTGCGTCTCCGGCGGAGGGATGTAAAGTGGTGCGGCGGTGGGCGCCAAGTGGCTATCATCCTGCGGCGGTGGCCAGGTGAAGCTAGATCCACGCTGCGATTGCCGACTAGCGGCCAACGCCACCTCGATGTCCACCTCATAGCAGTCCTCCTCCTCGTATTCCGGCTGCAGTTCGTCAACAGCCTCTCCACCTTTTTCCATGGGACGGGTCAAACAGCAGGGGTCAAGTGTTTTTTGGGGACAAGTTTGTGTGTTTATGGTGCAGAGTTAGTTTGGTTTTTTGTGTTTTTGTTTTTTGGCGGACAGGGCAAATATAAGAGCAGAAAGAAACAAAAGACAAGCGCTTGTTAGTCCTTGGCACTGAGAAGGCGGCAGAGCTTTGGTGTTGGATCAGTGGTCAGTGGTTCAAAGGTCAGTGGATCAGTGGTGTTTGGCAACGGCGACAGCGGCAGCGGATTCGAAGGCGATTACATAACTATATAGACACAACTTTATCTAAAAACTACAAGGCAAGAGGCGGCACAAAAACTAAAGCAACTCAATCCTGATTTCGTTCAGTTTGTGGTATGTTTAGTGTAGGTAATGGACTGAGTGGTTCCTCGAGTGGTGCTTCGAGTGGTGTATATGGATGGTCAAGTTCAAGGCACACACACACACACGGTAAGGCATAGCAGGAAGACGGTTAAGTCAGGCAACTCAATCGAAGCGAAGCAATGAGAGGGATCGGAAAAGTTTCACGCCCATCCCCAACCCCATTGCAATTTGTTGACAGACAAACAAACAACGGTGTATCGCTGGCTGGCTGGCCATATAAAGAGGGAAAATATTAAATGCGATTCAACAATAGTCGAGTCGTGTGGTGGGGAGCGGGGTGGCAACGTTTTATTCCCCTTTTGCCGGGGAAAATAAATTTTTTATTTCTTATTTTCAGAGCCATTTTCATGGCGAGCAACAATAAACACACGCGTGTACAGAAGCCCGGAAAAACTCTCTCCGCTAGGCACGCATATTTACTTCCATTTTTTATGGGCCCACGTCTGACTCCTCCAACCCCTCAACCCAGAGAAAAAAAATGTAGGAAAACCCCCCAAACCAACTCCAGTTGCGAACAAAAATGGCGTCGACAGGTAGTCATTGGATTTTATTATGCATAATTCGGTATTGGCTGTAATTTCGCAGAAATTGAAAATGGCAGAAACACACGACCAACACGATGGGGCAACAAAAGGATCGTTTCAGTGTTTCTGTGGCAGAAACAAAACGGAAAACAAACAAGCCAAACGAAACGAAATGAAACGAAATTATTGCCGCAAATATTTTGTCATATCAAAAATGTTGGCAGCAGCAACAGAAAACTTTTCGACCATAATAAGAGGCCGCCAGGGCATTTGGGTAAAAGTTCTTCTTTATGTTTATTATTTCTGGCCCCCTCCCTCCCTACCAGTTTTTCATTCCCCTCTATTGTTTTTAGACAAAAGGCATGCAAAGTTGTGCAAAAGAAAGAAATTCTTAGAATAGCTGAGGACACAGTTCGATTAGTACTTATATAGATATAGATATTTCGTAACATATACATATTCTATATCAGACAGACTTTTCAGAGCGCTTTAAGCATTTTGCGGTTAGGCACGAAGCATTTATACTATGATTCTTATAATGATCTTTATAGAGGTATATATTCTTTGAAGTATTCGCAGTTTATTTGCTTAAAACTCATAGTATTCCATTTGATAGTATGTATGCTTAGGTATTTTCGTAGAACATTTATATATATTTGTATTTATTTTTCCAGAATTTCGCCAACTTTGCACGCCTTTTGATTGTTGGGTTTTTGTGGGTGGTGTGCGGGGGTCATAGGGATTTTCTAATACGTGTAGGGGTAACCGTAACCTAAAAGAAGCAGAAACCGAAAACAAAAGTTATTCGTGGGATTATGCTTAATGAGCCTAGGACAATAGTTCGGCCCAATATTCAAACAAATAGAAGGCAAAGTGCCCTCGATAAATCCTCGTCTCTCCCTGACGAATGCCAAGCCATGTGATATATGGCCCCTTGGCACGCTTCAATATTCGGCCACTCTCACCAAGAAAATTGTGGAAAATTCAGGGGCTTAAGAGAGGGGGCAGCTGAGGCGGATGCTTGTTCGTATAATAATGGCTGGTAATTTATCTGCTTTCGTTTACATTTCCCGCTCCGTGTGGGAAAGCTGCCTGTGCGTGTCGGCATTTGTGCAAGGCAAACATTTGTTTGCCAGCACATTTCTTTTTACCCCACCAACTCTGTGGAAAGCAAATTGGAACTGGATTTGCTCATATGCTGCCACTGGTTTTTCTTTTTTTTTTTTTTGGAGTTGTTTGGGTTGGGAAAACTAAACCCGAAAAACCGAAACCCCAAATGATTGCTGTGGTCGTGCGTGATTTTCGCTTTGATTAGGAGATTGATTTCTGCCGAAATGAAGATTTATGTTATACCCAGAGAGAGTCTCTCAGTTCGCGTCCCTTGCTAATTGCATTTTTAATTGCTTAACGAATGTGGGTAGCCAGCACTGGCAAAAATTGCCCCATAAATTTGATGTGCAATTGCTGGCGTCGCCATATTTGTTGTTAATTCATTTCCGTTATGACAGCCAGAATCGCGAGGCGCGGTAATTGATAAACAAACAAACAAACAGACAAACATTCGAGGAGCAGGGATATATGTGCAGTTGGCGAAGAAAAAATACCAGAAATTGCCGGGAGAGGCCCCAAAGTGTTCTTGGTAAAGCCGCAGGTACAGTGAGAGGGAAAATTGAACGAACACTATTAAAAATTTTGGAAGTTAATGTGTACTTTTAGGAAGGAGATCATCTGTAAAACAACGTATCTTAAGTCAATTAATATTTTGTAGTAAACATTCTCTCATTATTTCGGCTTGAATTTTCCTACATTTCGTTATCTACAACCCTGTAATTTGACTTCATATGGTATATTTCCTTTTGCCACCTACTGTCTGTGGCCTTCTTCATTTTCCCCGATGGGTTATTTGCGCTGCATTTAAAGCCCTTTACTGGTTAAAAAGGAGCTGAGGAGGAGGCGACCACAATGGCAACCAGCCACGCAGGCTGAGGCAGGAATTGCAGCGGTAACCGAATACATTTTATATCATTTATTTCTGTGAACATGAATGGGTCTCGTTTCGTTGCACTGGCAACGCGTTACGTATACGCAGCGTATCGGTTTGGTTTGCTTTCATTTGGTTTGGTTTTTCGGATCGGTTGGGTTTGGTTTGGTTTGCTTTTTCTCCACCCAATGTTCTCATTTCAAGCCCCCCAAAGCCACCCATCCCTCCCTACAGTTTTCCCTTCGATTTCGCATTTTACATTCGCATTCGCCTTTCAGCACTTTCGACTGGCACACGGAAGTGGAAGATGGCAATCGCATTGGCATTGAAACCGCCGATAGGACCGCCCTTGCCATTTTCCGAACCTCGGTTACATCGGCCATTGTCAGTTTCAATTTCCCGTCTGGCGGCCCCCCCATAATAATGATAAACACATTTTAAAATGTTTCCACCTATTGATTGAGTTTGTCAACAAAATGTTTCCATTATTAACGCATTCGGCGAGATGGCAGATGGATAATCGGACCTGCTAATGAAATTCATTTGTGTGTGCTTGTGCCTGTGAACCTGAATGGTTTGCTTTTGTATGAGCATATGAGGATATGTGATATATATACTATATATAATGGGCAGAACTCTTTAAAGCAGCAACATATTCGGATGATATCGCACTCAACGAGTGAATTAATCTATGGCAGTGAGTTTTTGAAACTGAATAACTAGAAACTTTGGCTGCGAGGCAATTGGATTTTCTTTTGGCAGCATTTTACCTCGGTAAACATTATTATTGTTGTTGTTGTAGGTGCTATAGTTGTTGTTGTTGTTGTTGTAGTTGGTAGTGTTGGAGGTGATGTAGGGGGACTGACTCGGGGTGCTATAATTAGATCCCATGGGGTAAGAGTTCCTATACTGCTGCTTCTGCTGTTGCTGATTGTTGTATTGCTGTTGCTGCTGTTGGTACCTTACATTACGACCTACATATGTACACAGCACAGAGAAATCGGTATATATACACGGGCAGCAGACAATATACATATATATATAGATAGATAGATAGATAGGTAGAGTGAGTGTAGAGTAACTTAAACTATGCTAAATGTTTTATGCAGCCACATTTGCCAAATAGTTTTCATTTAGTTGCTCACGTGTGGGGGCGGGGTATAACGAGCAGAAAATGGTTTTAGTAAATTTCGCCAGAAGCATCTCGATAATTTCGATAATTTGAGGATTTTTGTTGGTTAGTTTTCCTTTCGGTTTTACAGTTAAGTCATGTGCAATTTATTTCAATCAATAAAAGTATATATATATATATAAAACTCATCGTTGTTACAAAACAGAAATCCGGTTAATACTATACAACAATCGATCGACTGCCTCGATCACACTCTACACATCATCTATCACTCATTTTTTTTTGCTTGGCTAACAACAGAGGGTACTAAACTGTGGGCTATATAAGGTGTATGGTACAGATATGGTACAAAATCTCAATTGGCTTAAGCGACTAGACCCATTCACCTTCTGACAGACAGCCGTCGTCATCATCATCCTTACCTTGTTGGCCGACATTGCTGCGTGGCAGAGTGGCATACGGATTGTTGCCACCGGGAGCGGGACGCGGCGACTGCTGCTGCTGCTGCGGCGGATACGACACCGGCGACTTGGGTGCGGCAGCACCGAAGGGACGAGCATAGCCCTGGTTCACCTTTAGAATGGAAAAAACGGATGTTAACTATTAGTTAAGGAGCCTTTAAATCAATTTTGATTTGATTCTGTTTCAGTTTCAGGGCTAACACTTTACAACACTTAACGGAAGTCAGTTAGTTTTTCTTGGGCTGATCTGAGCGAGCTGCGGCGCGAGCTGAGCGGAGCAGAATGCAAAGTACTTACTTTTTTGGCTAGTTGAGTTTGGTCATTGATAGGGGCAAGGTCAGTGAGCAAAAGGGTTTTATAGAAAAAAAAAACAAAATTCTTGTCTAAATTTTAGTTCTCTAGTTAGTTCTTTCGTTTGATTGAAAAAAATTTTTTTTCCCAATGAAAATTGATTAAGTTTGTTAAATTTAATCCTTCACCTTTTCTCTTTTCCCTTTAAAAATCCTCTTGTTCTCCTGTTGCTCACTGACCTCGACCTTGGTCTAATTGGTCTGGTCGGAGGGAGATGGATTACCTTGTAGCTGGGGCCGGCCCCCTTTCCGGGAGCTTGCACGCTGCGGATAACGTTGCCGGTTAACGTAACGTACTCGAAGGGCTGATCGCTCCCACCGGCAACGATAGATGCTTGTGGTGGTGGTGCTACAGCACCTGAGTTGGTGTTAATCTGGCCATAAATCGAAGACGGCTCATCCGCCACGTAGGCCGACATATTGTCTGATGTTGCTACTGGAGCTGGGGTATCTGTTGCAGTTGCTAGTAAGGGTGTTGCTGGTATAGCTGCTGTTGCTGCTGCTGCTGGTGTTGCAGCTGATGTTGCTACTGTTGCTGTTGCTTGGGGGCTTGCAACCTGATGTGGGTTAAATTTCAATTGATTAGCAAGTGTCGCCGTTAGCGCTGCCACAAGCGGCTGTTGTTGATGTTGTTGGTGTGGCAGGTGTTGATGTGGTGTTGGTGTTGTTGTTGCTGTTGCTGTTGCAGTAGTTGCTGCCACTCCAAATGGCTTGGCCGTGTTGTTGTGTCTCTGTGCGGGTGTTGCTGTTGCTGTCGTGTGCTGTGTGGTGTTGTGGTGTTGCTGCTGCAGCTTGTTGGAGTACTCTTTCAACAGCTGGTTGTACGCATTGGGGCTCTTGTTCTGCGTATTCATGTCGTTCTCGTTCTGCGCAGCCTGCAGCCTGTAATTCGTCACGGACTGAGTCTGCGGAGGAGGCGGTGGCGGCGGAGAGGGCGGCTGCATTGTGTAATTATCGCCCTGACCGGCGGCCGGACCAGCCAAAGCCGCCTCCAGTGACGTGGAGGAGCCGGATGTCTGGCGCGAATGCATGGGCGAACCGAAGCGGTCTAGGGATAGGGTGGATGAGTAGCTTTGCTGACTCTGTCCAACACCACTCCCGCTGCCACTCCCACTGCCGCTGCCGCCCACTCCGGACGAGGAGGAACCACTGGAAATGGATGACAGGCTGCTGTGGGTGCGTGTGTGCTCCTGCTTATGCTGATGCTGTTGCTGCTGGGTAGTGGACAGGTGTTGCTCCGGGGGGACTTGCTGCAATTGCTCCGCCTCGTACTGCAGCAGCTGGGTGGGCGAGGGAGGCGGTGGCAGAGGCAGCTCCTGGCTGCTCTCAGACTCAGGCTAAATGGGTTAATGCGGGCAGGCGTGGGTTAACAAAGGCAGTTAATTAAAATGCACGAGCAATGAAAGTGGTACATAACCTACGGCTGATGAACTAAAACCCCTGTGCGTATGTATGTGTCTTTGTTCTTATGTGTATGTGTGTGTGGGTCTGGTGTTGTTCTAAAAATGGCTAATAGGTCAAGGTCAATGGGCGGGCTAAATAAGAGCCCCACTCCCAGCAGGAAAATGCTGAAAAAGAAGCCATATTCCTTGGGTAATCCAAACGGATGATTATGCAACCTTTGCAAAGATTTGCTAGAAGATTATCGCCTGTCCTAAAATCACTGAAAGAAAGTCGTTTCACTTGATTTGCTAATCGTTGGTCGTTGGAGTTCTACATATACTATATATAAACCGATTTCTGGACACTTTTCGTGATCGTTTCGGTCGCTACTTGGTCACTACTCTGGTGTCCGCTCGCTGCGGACACAGTAACGGACACTTCGCGGACACGGACACGGTTGTTGGGAACGAGATGCGCACTGAGCACAGGGCGCAACGAAACTGCGGCCACGGCAGCCAAAAAGTTGCCAAACCGCTGCAGCTGTGTGTTTTTTATAGATGCCCAAAAATACAAAATAAAAAAAATAAAGGAAAATATATAAAAAAAAAAACCAAAACGAATGAGTAAAAAGCAGCGCTTGGCATATATATTTAGCTTTTAGCAGCCATTGCACATTTTCGCGAAATGCGCTGGCCGCGGCAAAAACAGATAAATAGTAAAATAAACTATTCAGCCGCCGTGCACTATTTATACGCCCTTGCAATCAATCTGGCCATGTCGATCGGATTGATTCAACGTGTCCAACGCCCGTGCCAAGGGTGAAGACTTGAAATCCCTCAATGAATGCTATAGTACATCTTACCCACTTGCTCCTCCTTCTCCTCCACCTGGCAGTCAGTCCCCTTGATCTGCTTACCCAATCAGCCGTAGGTCGATCCAACAAACATAAACAATAACTCCATGCAAGACAAGCAGAGGACTCACGCAAAAACACAGAGAGAATAAGATAGAAACACAGGCAAACAACACATAAACAATTTTTACACAGAGAAAATAATTTGTGTAAGTTAATAATTTGATAAATAAATAGAAAATAATATCAAAACAGTTTAAATAATTTAATAAATATTTTTTAAAATATTAAACTGTCATCTTTTAGCTATGCTTTTGACATCTTTTATGAACATCTTTCAAAATCACTTTCCTCTGTGCCTTGGCAAATGCATAAAAACTTTTCCATTTTCATTTGATCGCTTTGTGGCCAAAAGAAAAGTGAGGAACGGCGGTGAGCAGTGAGACAGCCAAAGAAAACAGTAAACAAGAAGCGTTTCTTGATAAAATTGCCCGAGATGTTTGAACTTCTTTGCTGGCAAAAACTTTTTGCATTATATTGCATTTTTCTCTGCCCGGGCTCCTTGTTCTGCAGATGATTTTTAACATTTTAGCATATGTCGGATGCTGTCGCTTCCGGTGAAATTTTTGCTGAGTTTAAGCAAACATTTTTCCTAGCAATATACATATGATAAAATTGAATGTTGCAAAAGCAGATTCAGGTGCAGAGAAAGGTGAAAGGTTTGGTAGAGAGATTTCTTCCCCATACACATTTCTCCTCCTGAGCTGTGTTCTATATCTGTGTCTATAGATATATATATCTGTGTTTTTCAGTGAGTGTCTGACATTGTTTTAGCCACGGCAGGGAACAGTTAACACTTAACAGGTGGTGTTTTTTATTTTTATATTGCCACCTGGCCAGAAGTCTTTACTTACCGGTGCCGGAGCGGGGGCGGAGTTTCCATTGGAGTAGCCGTTCGAGTTGCCACCGTATCCGTGCGAGTTCAAGGCCGACGAGATGGTGGAGGCACTCAACTTGGTATTGCTATGGGAGGAAAGAAAGAAAATAGAAAACAATAGAAAAGATAAGTTAGACAAGTGGCCAATAAATCTGATTTGCCGGCGGTAATTGCCTGTCACCAACCATTCGCCTAATTGCCCCCCAGTGCAAGACCTTTAATTTGGTTTTTGGCCAACGACAACATCGTTTTAAATTAAGCAAATAGCACGCCAAAAACCCCAAACAAATTCCAAATGCCAAATGCAAATTGCAAACTGTCACTGGTCGTCTATATATATATATTTTTGACACATCAGCAATATCGCACACCCTTAGGGGGTCTACGCCCCTCAAAGTATTACAGCCCCAAAAATAGTACACCCCAATCGATAGCTGGGGAAGTGCGTTCCCAGTTTAGTTGGCATGCAAAGTATGTGGCACACACACACACACAATCGCATGGCATATGCTGCCAATTCATTTATTAAAAATTTGCGGCACAGCCGATGACACGTCAGCAGAGCAATCAGTGTCGCCTCTTTCATTTCCAAAAGCGGCGACTGCCCAACCAAAACAAAACAAAGTGGGGAAAGGAGATATTCGCTGAACTAAATACCCTAACTTTACAAAAAAAAATGAAAACTGATATAGGAAATTAATATTCTCTTTTAAAATAAATTGTTTTGGTAAACATTTTTAAGTGATTTTGAATCAATAAATTATGAGGGAATTACTATTTTATAGCCTAATAAATCTTTTTTGGAATTTAGATTCATAGAGTTGAAGGCTAGTTAGTTAAAGTTGTAATGATTTTCCCCCTTTTCTCCCCTATTTTTAAACTCATATATATCTCTTTAAAGAGTATTTCCAATTGCCTTTTTCGAATATATGTAAATTCCCGCTTGAGAACCGGCATGTCAGTCGTATTTTGGCATATAGCGAATTGTCTGAATTTATTTATATTTCATTTTCATCTGTACCCAGGACTTTTCCATCTTTTTTTACACCCACCACTGACCAATTGGCCGTGTAAAAAGGACATGCCACAAATAAAATCAAAGGAAATATTCGGGGATAACTCCGATGATCACTTACGGCTTGATGGGAACGGGAACGTAGCCCTCGGTGCCGGAGGGTGGGTTGTTGATGGCGGCCTGCTTGGCGTGGATGTCGCAGTAGAGCTTGTTGTTGAAGTTGTAGTAGCCCTGGTTCTTCAGAGAGGTGCCGCAAGTGGCACACTTGAAGCACTCCACGTGCAGGTTCTTGTCCTTGATGCGCACGAACACGCCACTGGAAAAGTGGTAAAGGTATATTTTGGATTATTAAAGGGATTTCAATAATGGAGGGGCAGTTCGAGAAGCTCTTCATGGAGAACGTCCAGAATTCGGCAACAAAGAAGAATTTTAAACATTACAAATGTATTATTTAAAAAGGGTGTTTATTACCCATTAGTTTGCTATAAAGCCAAATCACATTCTCCCACATTGAAGAGCCCCTCGAACACTATGCAGACATTCAACTCAATGAATGATCGAACAGCACTTGATAACTGAATTACTACTCTGGATAGTTCGCTGTGCATTTGTGTGTGTACATCGAAAACAGTCTCCCCTGGCGAAGCTGTTAGCCATGTTGGGAGGTAATGCGAGAAATATGTAAAAAAGCTATAATGCATTATCGAGTTAAGCTCTGATGGCGAGCCAATTAAATTGGCATACAAATTAATACAAATGATGGTTCCCATGGATCTGGTCTGGATCAGGAGCTTTATACGTGCGGCATGGCTGTTGGGTGCTCAGGTGTTTGGGTATGTTGCATGAATGGCAAACAATTGACTTCGCCGCCCTGAGTCCCGGTCCCGGTCCGTTGGAATAAAAGCGAATTAAAATGCAGACACAAGGTGGTAAGGGGAAGCGGGGAGATCGAAACAGACGCATGAATTATCATTGAACGGCGAACAACGAATCCTTACACAATGCCCACGCCGCACAGCTGGCAGGCCGGATGTCCGCTGGCGGCCAATGGACGTGGTCGTCCATCCTGGTCGATGGCCAATGCCGCCGCTGCCGCTTCCATTTCGGCCTTGTATTCGGGTCCCTGGAGGGTGGGACAGATGGGCATGACAATGATGCGCGGATCGGCCTGCTCCTGATCCTGTCTGGTCTGCTCTTCTTTATCCTTCTGGGCCACTGGCAAACTGGGCCTATGTGATGCCTCCGGCGCCAATGTGTTCGACTGCAGTGGCACCCCAATCCGTTCATCCGGCTGCTGCTGCTGCAGCGGCAGCTGCTGATGTTGATGGTGCAGCGGAGTGCGTCGCTCATTGCCGCCAATTGCATGGCTTTGTGTCCAGTAAAAGTTGGCGGGACTATGTGGTTCTACATATTCGCATGGCATCATCATTGAAGCGGAAAAGCTCAGTCAGTTATTTGGAAAATGTACATGTACATACATACATACATACATATAGAACCTGCCTAAAGTCTGCTCCTGGAAACTGATTCCCTAAGCACCCCCCTAATGGCTGGGAATTAGTTAATAATGCAAAAGCATCGCCTTTGTTGCTGTTAGTCAATGTGCATACACAAATGCTAATTCACACACGTGACGGTGGGGTATTTAGTCGGTCTGATAAGGTGATAAATATAAGTACAAAGAGGTGTTTGATTCTCAGAAGAACAAAAGATGTGAAATAGTTGGAAGAAGACTTACAATTTACTTTACAATAGAATTGCTATGAAACAAATTTGTAATTATTAACTTAAGTTATTTACTTTATACAAACACATGTGCATAGCACAAAGAAGTTAAAATACTTCTTGCCACAAATCGAAAACTTATGAAAATCAGTTTGAGTTTCCCACTTCCAATAGTTATAATTCCCTTTAAGCCTCTGAGCTACTAATATTTATCACCCAATCAGTACATGTTAATACCCTGTATTATTTTACACGAGGAAAGTTAGAACCAATTAGCGACACTTACGTAATGAGACGCTCGCATTCGGTGCAAATGTTCTGGCCAGTTGGGAGTCCGCCGGTGCTCGGGGGCTTGGGGGAGTTTACGGGGGCGCTGACATGGCGAGTGGCACTCGATTGCAGTTGTTGCTGTTGTTGTTGTTGTTTTTGTTGCTGATGGTGTTGCTGATGATAGTGTTGATGTTGTTGTTGTTGGTTGTATTGCTGTTGCTGTTGCTGTGGTGCATCATGCTCGTAGTGGCTGTTGCCGAATGCTGTTTGTTTATGTATTTGTTGTGGGCGGTGTTTGATTCGGTTTTTGGTTCGTATGAAAAACAGTTTAAATACAAACATGAGTTAGACAGAAAGATAGACAGAAAGTGGGTTTCGCAATGGGTGTGTCTTAAAGTTTTCTTCAGCAGTCAATGAGAGAGACAGAAATGAGCTGGCAATTCAAACAAAAAGCTCTAAATAACCGTAAATAATTCAATATTCTAAACTACAATCAGACCTGAAAGTAAGATAACTACACTACTACATGACCCCTTCTATCAATCAACTACCAAACTGATTGTCTATACAAAACTCTGCGCTTCACTGGAAATAATACTTTAATATCTACGACTTATTAGGTCCGTGCAGGTGACTTTGAAACTGTTGGTTAATATATATATATATTTATAGATATGACTGTGTGTGGGCACTAGAAATGTGTCTTCAAATAGAGAAAACGAAAGTCCATTTCCTTTTGCTGGTCTGATGGGGTTAAACGACAAAAGAACAAAACAATTTAGTTACATTTGGTTTGTGTCTGGCACATAAAAAGCAGCCCAATTTCAAGGTCCCTGCTGGGCGTTTTAAAAAAAAAGACAACATTGGCTAGCATCTGGCAGACTGCCCGCCCACCTAGCCCTCCTCCCATCGCTAATCGCCCAGAACATCGCCAACAAACGGATTGATACCGTCGTTTAGGATGAGCAGCAGGCGGGCCAACTCATAGTTGGCTTCATTACCTGGAGTGGACTGGCCGGTCTCCTCCTCGCGCAGGAACTTCAGAACCTCGGAGCGATCGCCCTGGTATTCCTTCTCGTTTTTCTTAAAGTTGACGCTGAAATGGGGGAAATTAATTGGCTTTTAATTATGTTATATCAAAAATATATTATATTAAAAAATTGTATAAAAACCACTTTGGAAACTATTTAATTTCTGAGACTTTCGAACAAAGCAAAACTCTTCTTTAAGAAACCTAGAAAGCAGCGTGAAGTGAGCTCTAACGATTGGAAGAAATCCCGCAACGCAGGAGTAAATGAAACCAAGAGCACTTGTGCTTGGGTATAGCATACTTTCGAGCGTGCACAGTGCGCAGCCCGAAAGTATGCTCCACTAAGTGAGTCAGTGGCGGCAACAAGATTGTTACGCATCCGCCGCGTTGCCCAGAAATCCCCCAAAGAAATTAAGCGCTAAAGGCGCGAGCTTCGGTCCCACGCGTGCATTTTGGCCCGCAGAAGTCGACAACTGGCACAAACTCAAGCATTTGGCCCGACTTCTGCCGCTATGGCTATCATTTGCCAAATTGCACACACCGTTTCGACCGGCCTGCGGTTCTTCGCACGCCCTGCTTTTGGCCTTCTCAGTTTTCTTCTTTTTTGCAGGTTTTTCTGTTCTTTTTTCAACTCAAAGGAAGGCAAAGCAAGAACATTTTTAAGTAAAACTTTTCCTGATATTTCGCACTGTCATGGCTGCGGCCCAGACAGTTGTTTGTTGCCTTTTCCCCAGCTTTCCATCTGAACTTTTTTTTTTCCCGGAAAAACTTACCCGAGCACACCGCCAGCCAAAACCTCCGCCTGGGCCGAGAGTGTTTCCGCAATAGATTCATCGCTGTAAATGCCAACAGGGGTGTTGTATTGTTTATTGACAATGCTCTTCACGCCGCCATCGCCGCCGTTCGACTGAAAAGTGGGTGGGAAAAGTGAAAAATACATGAGAACTTCTGCCAGTCTAAGAAAGTGTAAAATGAGTGAAGTTTCTGGTGGAATGAATAAAGGAAAATTGAAATCCCCCCATGCACTTATTGTAATTGGGATTATTGTTCTCCATTACTGAGCTCTTCTCTGAGAATCTCACAATATTTAGCTAACTGAAACGGAGCCTGTTCTGAAGTCTATAAAAGTTTCTTTGTTTTGTTTTATATTTCGTAAAATGGATATGTTTTAAACTGATATAGATTTCTGTTGTTATTAATATTCAATAACAATCCCACAAAATATTCATACAATATTCTTAAGTCTTTCAAAATATTGCCTTAGCAAGAAGATATTCTAAGTCCAAATTGAGTTCTGTATCCGGTTGCCCCTGGAACTTGCATATTAAATTATATTCGAAAGCCGGAGGTGTTTACCAATAACTCGGTACCATCTCAACTGTGCCATATACACATAGCCTTAAATCACATTAAGCTGCTATGCTTGCCATAATGTTGTTCCTGAAACTTGGCACATAAAATGATCCCAAATCAATTTCATGTCCGTTGTCATTGGCTGGAGCTATTATTATACAAATTCATAACAATAAAAGATACGTAAATGTATGCATATCATACACACACAAGCACACCAACAGAGACATTACTATGCATGGCATGGCACAGATACTAATGCAGATGTATGTGTGTGTGTGTGTGTGTTAGGGACCTTTTGCACATTAATTCTTGCCAGGCAAATAATCCTAGCACTCATATTCATTACTCATTCTGACACTTTTCAAAACTACGCACAAACAAACTGAGAGCGTCAGACAGACAGACATCGTATAAATGCAAATGTTGTCAACTCATACAGAGGGTTTTTCGGGTTTGGGTTTGGTGTTGGAGTTGGGGTTGGGGTTTCAGGGGTTTCATTCAGGGGTTACGGGGGTTCCCTGGCCCAACAACCGAAAATGAAATGAATGAATATGAAAAGCCACAGACAGACAACAACAAAATAAACGCAAAATGTGGGTGGTGGCGGTGATGGGGTGGTCGGTCTAGAACTAACTATCAACATCATTGGTCATCATCAGGACGTCAGCATCAGCTGGGCCACTAAAACTTTCCGCATTCCCAACTTTGGGCTGCCAGTTTATGAATTTTATAAATGATGTGGTGTTGCAAGGATAGGGGAGTTTGGGGATACTACTCTCTGCGTGATTGCAAATTAGTACACTTACGAAGGGACGGGCAGCGTTGTTGTAGCCACAGCCGATGTGCTGGCTGTCCTGTTGTTTGTGAGCCAGAGAGGTCTTCGTCACCGTCTGCAGATACGGCGAGTTGGGCTGCGGCACATTGCCCGTGGGCGTCACATGCGGCCTCCAGGTGGAGCCACCGCTAAAGGATCGCACAAAAAACAGAAAGTTATTTAGTACATTTTGTTTTGCCAAGTAATTTAAACCACTTACCGCTGCACTGTGATGACAAAGTTGTTGCCAGAGCGCACCACAATGTCCTGGGCATCCTTGTGCCGTAGATTGAAGACATCCACGTCGTTGATCTTGACCACGGCATCGCCGGGCTGAAGGCCAGCCTGCTCGGACAAGCTGCCGGCGTTCACCTAAAAAACAGAGTAGAAAAAAAAACCCAGTTAGCATGTAACCATCACTCAACTCAACTTCGATTTGCCATGGCCATAACTCACTACTCTGAAAAATGCCCAGTTGACCAAACTGGGCTTTAAATTTATTATGCTGCAACTGCAAAAATTATGAGCGGCAATCCGAGTCCAAAACTCGCGGTGGCGCTGACTTTAGCTGAATATATATATTCCACATGCCCAACATGCAGATACAGATATATATATATATTTATATATCTGTGTTTTCTGGCCCGCAACTATTGGCCGAAGTTTAGTTTTATAGGCGTTGCTTTGTGTGCGTTTTTGGTTGTTTGTTTTCATCATTTATTTATTTCCGAATATATATGTATGTATGTTTTTCATTCGCTTCAACGTCCGCGGGGAAATCGTGCGGGAAAATGCCATAAATTTGCACGATTAAAATCGTAAAAGTTACGCCGGAGATTCTTCTATATGGCCAGCAGCTATGTGGGCGGAACTGACGCATACAGCCGGCAGAGAATTTTCAAATTTCAAACTTGAAATTGAAATGGAAATAGAAGGCAGTAGTAGTGACTCAGGCACGAAGGGTTCTGAATAACTATTCATTACCAAGTTTCAGTTTTTGGGGAAATAAAGTTAGTCAATGTAAATGGCAGAAAATGTTTTCAAATCGTTGAGCAGTCCTATTGCATACACGACTTATACTAATATGTTTTGGGACAAATTTATAAAAGTGAATTACAAAGTTGGAAAGCCAATAAAAGTCTTTTAGAATGATTAGGTAAGGTTATAAATGAATTCTTTATTTAAAACCAGTATCTTTCTAACTCCATTTGAACTCATCGTTCTTTCGGCAAATTTAAAGCCGCTTAGTATGAAAGTCACTTGGCCTGTCAATGTCGCTTCATCAGCCAAACTAACCAACTAAGCACACACTCAATCCCTGGCACACATAGATACACTCATCAGGCTAAAGTCCACAGCCACAAAATACAGCCACAGAGGAGCAACGTTGGAGGGGAGGCAGGATGGTAACGACAACTGCTCCTGTTGCTCCTCTCGGGGTCTAGGCCAAAAAGTTGGGTGGAATCGGAAAGGAGGTCCGAAACGGGGGCTCAGGTGTGCCCCAAAATTATACGCGCCATGCACGTATCCACTTTGGCAAATTGTCTGTTTATCAGACAACTGGCAGGCCCAGTCAGTCAGTCGACGCCGACCCCCTAAGCCCCCCTCAACTCCACCCGTACTTGAAACCCCCTCCTTTCCTCTGTGGTCGGTTGATATTTGCAGAAAACGGGGCGACGCTCGTGCAAAAACAAACACAAACAGAGACACTCGCATACAGATACGCGGCATCGGTGTGTGTGTATGTGTGTGAGCATAAATATTTCATTGGCGCACTCACCAAGCGAGACACCTAAATTTTGTAATATTTACAAAGTTGCCAAAAAACGTCGAAGCCCTCGCCCGAAAACCGAATCGAATTGAATCGAAGCGCAGCGAATCGGAGCAGCCGAGCAGAGCCGACAGGTTAACCGAGCCACAAAAATGTACACTGAGAGAAATACTAGAAAAGAAATTGAAGTGATATTTCGTATCTGAATCTTCAGAATCTATCTTTTGAGATTCGGTATTTACTTTTCAAGATTTATTTTTACTAAAAATATGGATTGCTTTCTTAACAAACTTAACCAGAATTTCATACAGTGCATAACCAATCCCAGAGCCAAAGCCAAAACCAAAGCCAAATCCAAGTCCATATCCGACGTGTGCCGTTGACATGTTCATTTTCTTGTTGTCGGCTGTGGGGAAAATTGAAATTGCTTGGCCAAGGTGTTTTCCAGACAGCAACAAATAAGTCCTGGCTCCTCGTCCTGCTCATCCCGGCCCCCCATCCCCCTCCCCTTTCAGCCCCTCATCATTCAGCCAGTCAGGCAACCGAAATCAAAGCGAACGCGGCCTGAAAAGTATTTTTTTTTGTTTTTTTGGCACGGCTCCGTGGTTTTGGGATATTGACATTTGGACAGTTTTATGAGTACCTGCGATCCGTGTTTGTGTCCCCCTTCCATACGAATATCTCTCTGGGCGCTCTCGTTCGACATTTGTCAGCTTTATAGCATTTGCGGCTGGCCGACAATTGACAGAGCATTTGTTTTTGCTCTTTCGAATGACTTATGAGCAGGCCAGATGTGCGAGGAGATGGACAAGGCCGAAAAGGGCATTACCAGGAGCTTTGAGCTCCACCCTCTTCTGGTCACATTATTAGTTTGGCTGCCAGTTTCCAGGTCCCACAGGTCGAGCTTGTTGGCCATTTGGCGCTGTTTGTTATGACAAACTTATCTTCCTTGTGGAGTATATCAGTCGAAAGGGAGAAATTGTAACACTGAGGATTTAACTTAGTTCCCAGTAGTATATAATTTGATATTATTATAAAAACTCTCCTTACTTTTTAGAGGCCCTTCTCTGCGCTTCTCACAAATGTGAAAAGTCCTTGCAATTTAAAACCTTTCTCTGCACTTTTCATAAAGTCAAAAACGCTTGGGCACACCCACTATGCAACGCAATGTTTTTAGGTACTTCCACAGCTCATAACCTCACATCATCCCGCTCCTTTTTGGCATCCCTCGCTGAGGGAGCAGAACATTAATGCCCTGTCCTGGCACATTACATGTGTGTGGGAGCTCACAGGGGCCAGAACAACTAAATGATGATTTATATAGGAGACTGGACAGAGCCTGGGATGAAACATGCCTGGCCGACAGAGAGTAAATGTTGTAAAAATAATTTCATTTGCATTATCATCAGCATTTCCCTGGCATGTATTTAGCATTTTACTCCACATCTGCATATGTATGTTCTCTGCTTCTTTCGTCGGTGGGGTGGCCACTTGAGAGGAGCTCTTGAAATTATATGCGTTATGACAAATACTCCCAGATATGGCCAAGTGGCTTTCGTGGCGATGTTGGTTTGTCGATGGCAGCTTGACAAACATTTTCACAAAAGTATGAAGAATTTCGGTCTCGTTTCGTTTGCTGAGTTGTTGTTGAAGTGTTTGATTTTGTGAGAGAGTCGAGGGAAAAATGGTTTCGGCCATCCAGAATCGGAAAATCCATAAAGCAAATGAAATTCTGTGGACCGAACCGAAGCCAAAGCCAAAGGCCCGTAATCAAGTCAACTAAGCGCTGCTCAAATCCATTCAAGTGCATTAAAATTGAATTTCGTTCAGTACACACACACACATCGACATGGTCCAGAGACAAAATAACAACAATGGAACAAAAACCGAAAACCGAAAATGCATTCTCTTCTTAAAGAGGGAAAATCGAAGAAGGATGGTAAGGAAAATGGGAAATGGGAAATGCTCACACATTGTATGCAAAATATTTATGTTGATAAATCAAGTTTGCTTTTGTGGATTAGGTGTATCTCAAATAAATTGAATTTGTGGCGTAAATTAAGCCAGGACCAAGAGCCAGGACACACACTCGCAGGACTTGTGAAGTGGAGGCCTAACAGCCAGCCAAGTTCTGCCAAGTTGTCGGCCAAGTTATGAGCTTGTTTAATTGAAAATAAATCTGCTTAAAGCCCCAGCTGAGGCGAGCAATATGACAGCCACACTCTCTTTCTCTCACTCTCTCATTTAGACCTCTATCTCCAGCCCGCAGTGGGGTTTGGGGGCCGTAAAAAGCGAAAAAGAGAAATTGCGGAAAAGTCGTAAGTAGAGCGAACATGAACAAAGCAGATAAAATACAAAATACTGCGGAAATGCAGCGCAAATACAATGAATCTCAATGTGTATGAATATGCATGGCGCATCACTCATACGCCACGTTGTCCCCCCTACTCTCTCTAGAAAGCCTCGCCATAGTAAATCACTAGAGACCCCGAGAACTCCACTGCCGCTGCTGGTGATGCGGCTTTCTGGCACAAACAAATGGCAACCACAACACTTGACCAGCGCGAATGGGAACGAAATGGTATGGGAAATGGGATTGGGATCCCGATGGGCAAACAGTTTGCAACTAGACTGAGCTGCCAGCGATTAAACCAAGCCAAAGAGTGAATGAAAAACAGCAAACTACCGGCTAGAGAAACAATTCACTACCACTTCGCTTTTCCTGGCAGTTTAAAGTGCTCCTCGCAATCCCTCTATCTCTGTGTCTCTGGGTTTTCCATTTCAAGCCATACTTCAACTTAAAGCCCTCGACTTCCTTTGCTTTTTTTATTCCTGTCCCACAGTCACATTCAATTAGATTGGAAAAAGTCACCAAATCACTTGCTAATGGTTTCGGCTTTGACCGTCGCTCCTCTAACCATCACATCGTCGGTCCATTTTACAGGGCTGACCAGCAAGCCAGCCAGACAGACAGACAAATAATATTTATTTATTGATGGCGAAATATGGGCGGCAGTAACTGCAACATCGTGGCACCCGCCAAACTGTCGGCAACATTTATAAATTATGATTGCAATCAACGTTCAACAAAAGCGCGTTCCACCATCAGCAGGCAGGCTACGTTTCGTTCAGGACGAGTTGTAAGTCGGTTGTTATACTCTATAATATTTTGGGTATTAGGAGTTCTGTTGGGAATTTTCTCTTTGTATTTCTTTGAACAATAAATTGGGGAGTAAAAGTGGTTCAAATTTGAGTGAAACTAACTTTTAGAGTTCTAAGAAATTTGAATTATGAAATTTTCAAATATGGAAATATTACCTTTAACCAATAACAATAATCGGATCCCCATTTGATAGAGGTGGATCTTCAGAAGTTTGAAACTTTGTTTGACTCTATAATCTGATCATTTTCAGTTAGCTTAAATCTTTAACTTTACACTTCTCTTTCCATTTCAGACACATTTTAATTACAGAAACAAAAAACACAAATTTTCCAATTAGGGTATAAAGTAAGTTATCACTTTATAGATCTCCCCTTTCTGATTTGGTAGAATGACAGATGCAGTTACCCACACACACACAGGCCCAGGAAATGAATGGAG